CGTATAAAGCGGAAAGCTATAGGAGTTCCTAACGTATGTCGTAGAAGGGATATGGTTACTGTCCAATGAAGTTAAACGACCCACCCTTCTTTCAATACTTAGATTCCTAAATATACGCGAAGGGGAATTTTGCGAGAAACAGTACTCGTGATTGAAATTTCTATGCTCTCTCTATTTTTTTTTCATTTATTCAACTCGCATTTACTATTTTTTGTGTGAATTAAATTGAATTTTTTTAATTATATTTTATTTTTTTATTTGTTTTTTTTTCTTTTTGGTGCTGAAATCGATATAAAATCTCTTTTTACTAATTATGAGGCCATTGTCATACTGATTTGTCCACATTTTCCATTTTTCCGATCATGGCTAAGAGTGTGACCTTTCGACAGGGGATGCTAACTCCTCCATGACACCTGATCCCACCTCTGAAATTTGTTGACCTCCATGTTTGCTCTTTTCCCTACTTGTGGTTTCGATGGATTTTTCAGCTTTGTTGGTGTTCGTCATCTTCATATTTTTAATGATCAACCATCCACTCTCGAATTATTCTCATGATATTACCTCATAGAACCATTTCGTCATATTAAATACTTGTATAGTCGGGTATACCTTACTAGGCATAGTTTTTGTTAATTATCCGATACCTTTATTAAAAAACAAAATGTGTACACTGCAAGTACAGCTGTATTTTAAATTTTCGACCATCTAACCTTTTTTCAACGCAAATACCAGTTTTTCATTAAAAGCAACTCTCTTGAATATTCTTCTTTTTAAGTATTTTTATTACATTTTTTTTTCATTGCATTCTTCTGCACGACATAGATTTTTGAAAAACAATGTAATGGTTATAATGATAATAAAACTTTTTAAAAAAAAATATGCCATAAGACCTATGTTTCTTTTGTCATTATGATCCGTTGTGGGAGGAAAAATCTTTGCAGAGCAATCTCCGACGTAAAGAAACCTATATTAGCACAGCATGAGAAACGATTATATGTTCCTAAATGAATAAAAATTGTGGTTTAAAATTATACAAAATGACAAAAATACATTAGAGCAGTTCACAAAAATATCATATCAAAGATATTAAAAGCCCCCAAAATTGGTTTTATTTCGATGATATCATAATACTTACGTAATTGTTTTCCTTCAAAACACCCTGATATTTTTCTTATTTTTGTACATATTATTGGCAAAAGGGCAATGCGCTGTAAATTCAAAGAAAACGTGGTCTTACTTAATATAAGTTTTTGAGTTCATGGTTGGACTAGATATCTTGTATTTTAGAATCCTAGTAATTGAAATATTGGATGAATTAATGAATATGTAGGTATATGTAGCCTAGGTATAAAGAATCAAGACGTATCTACATGTACAAGATATGATTACGAAAGTGCAACTTGTTAACCTTTGAATACAGATGCAGATAGCAATAATAAGATACACTTATTATTATTTTTTTTTGTTTCGTTTTGTGTTAGGCTACAAATATTCTTGCATATAAGTCTAAAGAAAAGTTCATTTACCTCTGTGACAGTGCAGCAGTGTTTATGTGCAATTGTTCTGTGTACAAAGACATAATGTAGACGGAATCGAAAGGAGGTAATTGCGGCGGCAGACAAAACGAACTTTCCCTAACAGACACTATCATTTATATACTTAAAAGTAATTGATTTAGCCATGAACGAAGAAGAGAGATTGCCGCCTTTCTTATATCATATGTATATCTTGAGCGAGATGAATTTTGCAGGCAATACTGACAAAAAAGCCAAAAACAAGTCCGAAATTACAGCCTTTGGCGGCCCCCAAAAAATCAACTTGACGGCCAACGAAAGATAATGGTACTGGACACGTAATAGAAGACGCGTTGCGTGTTGCCAAGAATTTTTGCACAGCCAAAGAAAAAGTAATTAAGGAGTAGGGATGACTTCCGGTTTCATGAGGTGGAATATTTAATTCTGTTGAGATACCCCCGTTAAAGTAATTGTACACTCTCGTATGGAAATTGTGATGTCATTTAGTTGTTTCTTAAGGGGAAAATGGTCATATGTTAGTTGGTTAGGCAAAGATTTTTTTTCAATAGAAATGCAGAAGAATTTATTGTAATAAAATTTAAATAGGATACTTCAATAGCATCTTGTAAAACAGTTATGTAGCCTTAAGATAGAAAAAAAAAACATATCAAATATATACTTCGATCTTGGATAAAACACAGATTGCGAAACCTTGTATTTATATCTATCTGTGCGAAAAGTTGTATTTATTTCTAAGACTTCATTCTTGATCGCAAGTATCAAACTGGTATCATTATACGACAGTGAGATGATAAGGGAACATGTGAAATTAAAATCATTGCATTAAAAAAATGCACATACAATAGTTGGTACATGTACCAATATGCAACATCTTGACAACTTGGAATAGTGTTCAATGGCCTTAAAAGAACACGATGGCCCTAAAGGAAATCAGAACAATAACAATGGGGTTGGCTTGAATCGACTTTCCTCCTAATATTGACAAGATTTTTAAAAAAAACTCTTCTGATGAGGCTTGTGTGGATATCAAATAAATGCATTATTACTTTCACATGGTTACACTGTATACCTTTTTGAATCGCGTACCTACAAGGGAAAACGTATTTAATACTCTCGTAGATGTCATACTCGTTAATTGATTGCACCAGACTAAATTTTGTGTGTTTCTAATAATTATGCCTTAGTAATGACAATTTTTACATGTACTTTAATTGCGTCCCGTTATTAGCATATACTTATTTTTGTTCACATGAAGCAGAATTAATTGAAGATTTTATATGAAAAGGGGTCTTGGTGTAACCTTCAATTCAACATTTAGATATACATGTATTGACAACGTTGTTGACAATTTTTGTTTGTTTTGTTGTATGTTTATATCGTCCCATCGTGAATTTTACATTCATAGCAATTGCCAGTAGAAAGCTGAAAAGAGCTTTAGACCCGTATTCGGCACTTGCGTCAACCAATGATTTCAAACGCGGTTTAGGATCAGTTACTTACTCTCGAGCAAATGCTTTAACCACTGCACCAAGCTTGCGAGCTTCTTATCTAATATAAAAAGTATCAAAAAGCCCCCAAAAATGGGTTTCATATTCATTTTCATTCCTTCGATTCGATATACTAGTATTCTTTTAATTCGAATTTAAAGACACCACAATCTCTGACAAATCTCTCTCATATTTGGATATTCACTGGAAAAAGACTTGAATATTAACCTTACAACTCATTATAATCAACAAAATGGCTTCACCTTTCTTTCATCACCTTCCCGTACGGATTTACCAATAAACAAATATCACTTAAATTTGGAGTTGATACTTTCAAGTTGATTCGATACTCAAATACATGATCTATATATGAACAATTTCTAAAACGAGCCAAGCTTTTAAAAAATAAGTTGATGACAAGGATATCAACATTCTCGTTTAAAGTCAATATTACTCAAATTCTATGTCGATACAAAAAGACTTTGTCAACAAAAAAATGTCAATCAAATTGGTTAGCCATTATTTTCAAACTGAATTGTCAGTGTATATTTCCGATTGTCCGATCACCAAACGCACTCGGATTCTTAATCCATCATAGCACCTGATCCCACCTGGAATTCTTTTTGAGGTCCCATTGTTTCAATGTCCTTCAGATTTAGATAGCTATTTATCTTCCTAGAATAAAAAAGCCTTGATTACATAGTGGTTAATAGTTGAAAAAATGTGTTCCTGTCGGGTAAAATCAGGGAATGATCTGTTCTATTTACGTGTCATTCATTAATTCAACATTTTGCAACTTAAACATATGAAGTCGAAAATTTGCTGCCTTTTTTATATCAAACATTTATGGAGACTGGGTGCAGAGAGTGTTTTGGTAATTTGCAGTAGACGAGTTTCTCCATTGGGTTGTACATTATACATCGGGTTTAACACCAGCATCGGGTTATACACTAGTAATCTGATGTTAGCTTGAATCAGTTTCGTCAATGTATTTGCTTTCACTGTTGATCGGAGACTACATTTCAGAAAAGTTTGACTACAAATATGAATATTTCTTAGTAAGATACACTATATGAGAGTATTTTTCAAATTACATGTATATACTTTACTGGAAGATGTCTTCATTCGCGATCCTCTTACTTTAAAATCTATATATTCCCTCAAATGTTATGCTTACTGAAGTAGAGGGCTTCGGAAAACTTAATGAAGACCTCAGCTAGTATAACTTGCTGCAAATATTCATTCTTATCATTAAAAACAAACTTTGGAGTTAACAAATAGTAATCATCCCATTTTTAACTCATTATGACCAGAACCAACACGGAACTTTAAAAAGAGAGATAGGATCAGGTGCCGTAGTTGAGTAAGCATACCCTGCCGCCCAGGCACATCCGTTGTGAACTCCTTATCATGATTAGGCAAACAGAAAATTCATAGGGAATTCTGTATGAAAGTAACGGCCATACAATCTGTATGAAGACTCAGTCACCAGCGACAAATTAAATTGCATTTGCAAACAAGGTCACTATCTACTTTATAAGTTGTGAAATGTTGACTTTCAACCAGATTATTAATATTGTTGTATCATCAACTTTTTTGTCAACAGTCTGCTTTATTTTAGAAATTGCTCTAAAGCATCGAGTCAACCTGGAGACACCGACTCCATGTACAGGTGATAACGGTACATGTCCACACAAACAAGGAAAGTTGAAGACAGAAAAGTTTGAAATCATCAGGATAGTGTAGTGCGAAGTTCCGTTGTTAGTTCGACATTAGTACTAGTTGGTTACCATTTTGTTTGTTGTAGAGTTATTCTGAACCTCTTTTATTACAAACCGGCAAACATCGATTAACTTGTTTACAATCGGAGCAATTGTCCGTTTGTCTAATGTCATGACACAAATCACTTCTCTTCTGAAACTGTATTTTTGTACATTGTTTTACTGCCTTTTGAATAAAAGTTATATTCTCTTTTCAGGCTATTTTCCAACAAAAATGGATTGCAATTACATCATGTATTTCACCCCAAGTGATGAAAAAGAGGGCTTACCACAGACGCAAGCAATATTGTGTGAGTTTTATGTCTTTGATCATAATTTTGACATATACCATACTTCCGGAATTAAATCAAACTTTCTGCAACAAAAAATAAAGAAAAGTCGATGATTTAATAAAATTCGTTTGCAAACATTCAACAAACCAATTGGTATAATTTCCACGCGAAAAAAGTTATGAATTTAAATAATAAAATGTTTCTTTGGTTTTTAGTACGGGAATTAATGACGCAGCAGTTGCAGAAAAAATACGGATTCTGCGTTAGCGGGTTATGTATTTTTTTTTTCTGCAATAGCTGCGACGTTCATTCCCATACTAACAATCAAAGAAAAACATTTTATTGTTCACATTTACACTTATGAAAAAAAAAACAGTCTAAAAGTAAAATTAAATATATTAAATATTGTATTATAGATGAATATGTCATTGTATGCATAACTGATGGAACAGCCATTGTCAAAAAAATCTATTCAAATGGTTTTCTTAGCGTCGTTTATGCACTGATAAATGGCAATGATCGTCTTCAGAAATAAAGGGGGGAAAATTCAGTGTATGTAAATATTTTGCATTGCACGCATTTCAACAAGTAAATTCAACTGTTTCTTATTCACACCAGGCTCTTAAGTCAATGCAGATTCATACATTTAAACTGAAGGGTCTCCTAAATATGGAAAGTGATACAAAATAATTTTAACTGCATGTTTTTGTCATGCAAAAATGTAGCCTACTTTCTGTTGAACAAGCTTGTATGCCCTATTCCTGGCCTGTAGACGCTTACTCAAGTGTATGAATACTTTATCTTCAGTTTTCCGGATTATCAGGAAATGGTCCCACCGTCTTCGGTGAATTATGTACTCGCTGAATTGCTTAAGAATCCTTGGTGTTGCCGACCACAATGAGTGCAATTAAATTTGTACTTTTGAGGGAAAAATCAATTTGACTCTAGGAAGACTTGCGGACGATTACGCAACAAATTACGGAATAAAATGGGTTTTGTAATTAAAGAAATTGTTTGAATTATCTGAGGCTAAACTTTTAATGGTTTGTCATAACAAAACAAGATTATTACCGATAATTCATACTGTCGCAGTGACGTAAGCTGGGTTGATTTTTTTTGTAAAACAAATTACAAATATTTCACAGAGAGGAAGAGAAATAATGAATTGCAATCTCTCTATGTGATTTTTTTTTATAGTTAAGGATTTAGATATAGGTCCTTGCTCTACTTTCAATAACCTTTCTTGTTACGTCATCTTAAAAATGGTCAGTTCAGTTTCAGTTTCTTTTCTCCTTAAGCCAAAGGCTCGTCAAATTTATACAGAATAGAACAGAATAAAATATATACAAAAATACAAAAAGGATATAGATATGAATAATAATTACAAATTAAAAAATGGTCAGTTTAATCAGCTTTAAGCTCACCTGGGCGGAAGGAGTGAGTTTTTCTGATCACAATTTGTCCTTTGTCTGTCGTATACAGTCAAACTTGTCTTAGCGGCCACCCGAAATCAACGGCCACTCGTGATCAGCGGCCACTTTCAGTTCCCCCCAACGATTTTTCCTATATATTTTAACTGGAATAAACGGCCACCTGTGTAACGCGGCCAGCGGCCACTCAAATCCTCCCCCAACAGCCTTATTAACACTGTAATAGGCGGCCATTTCGTCACCTGCTGCGATTCTATTATGTCTTTTAAACTCATTCGCTTGGGTAATAATATGCCGATAGCCAATTTAACTCAGCTATTAATGCAATTAAACAAATTACTATTGGATACACTGAACTCTGTTTGTATTTATGAATAAACCTGTTAGATAAAATTGTAATTATTTTTCAAGATCGCCGATTGAAAAATAGAAAGAATTTAAATACAATTGATACTTTCCTCTACCTAAAGAAATTCACACCTTTTAGATTTTTTTCCATGTAGAAGCCCTAATTGCTACTCTTGTGAAAACAAAGTGCTTCATATGGCATGATTATCTCGTGAATTTCACTATCAACAGACGATCGATAGGGATTAGTCACGCTCCACTGCATATCACACCTGTGTTATGGAATGATTTTCAACTGCGTCAATACATCTCTCTGGTCAAGTGGTTAATTATACCCCCCGCTTGAAAAGCGGGAGGGTATATAGTAATCGTTAATTCCGTCCGTCCGTCCGTCCGTCTGTTACGCTTTGGGGTACCCATCTCTTATCCGCAACTCCTCTTATACCACTGAATGAAATTTGACGAAACTTTCACAGAATCTTTATTACATATTGCCAATGTGCACCTCCTATTTTACTTTTTGATCCGACACATATTTTGGGTTTCCCAGAGCAAAACATGGACACTGTCATTTATACACATATGGGAGGCGGGGGGTATCATTTAGTGAGCCCATTGCTCACAGTACCTCTAGTTATACCCCCCGCTTGAAAAGCGGAAGGGTATATAGTAATCGTTAATTCCGTCCGTCCGTCCGTCCGTCCGTCTGTACGTCCGTCCGTCTGTCTGTCCGTCCGTCTGTTACGCTTTGGGGTACCCATCTCTTATCCGTAACTCCTCTCATACCACTGAATGAAATTTGATGAAACTTTCACAGAATCTTTATTACATATTGCCATTGTGCACCTCCTATTTTACTTTTTGATCCGACACATATTTTGGGTTTCCCGGCCACAGGAAAACATGGACTTTTTCACCAGTTATAACCATAGGGGAGGCGGGGGGTATCATTTAGTGAGCTCATCGCTCACAGTACCTCTAGTTTTATTTGTGTGTCTGTGTATGTTACATAGAAATTATGACAGCTTTATAAACAATAAAATTTATCAGACTTTAAAAACTTCAGCAAGTAAGTTAATTGCCGATGAATTAATTTGGGGGGGGGGGGTGGTGTTACACTGATGACCATTTTTGAACATATGCAAGTGAAATTTTAATTGACAAAGTCTTACTTAAATTTCTATGCTTTATTTTATTTACCATTAAACTGTATTTTTGTGTAATTTTTTCTTCTTTACAAAAAAGGATGATAGCCAGGCACTGTATGTATTTTTTGTTTACCTAATATGTAGGAACAGGAACATGCACAAAACCTTAAAAATTTCCAATTCTTTAATAGTTTCTTGAATGAGCTTGAATTATTATATATACACAAAAAACCTTTGTTAAATTGACCTGTTTTATTATTTGAGTAATTAATTGAACTGTAGTGCTTTGTTTATTCATTACCCGAATGTCTTTTTCGAGGGCAAACTGGAATAAGAGGCCACCTGTCTTAAGTGGCCAGTTTCCAGACTTCCCAAAGGTGGCCTCTTAAAACAAGTTTGACTGTACTTTTCACAATTCCATTTCTTTTTCCGGATCTTTGAGTAAAGGGTATTCAATTTTTTTTAAATGAAAGGCCACATCCTCTTTCAAAGCGAGACATTTAAGAAAAAGTTAAAATTTGGTGGGGTCATTTAACATTCTTCATAAGAGACACAGGGTCATAGAGAAAAAAACTGATAAGAAAGCTTCCTGAAATAGTGAAGATTCAATTTTATTCGTCTTGACCTAATGGTATGGTGTGGCCACTATTGGTGATCAAAGTTTTACATAGGTATAGATAGGAAAAAATCTTATATTTTTTATTTATAGCAAAGCCATGATCAGTTATATATTCATATGGAAGCATCCATACTAGGTAGTGTAGATTGAAATTTGTTCAAATCACGATCCCCGGAAGTAGGGCGTGGCTCTTTGGAAGATGAAAGGGGAAGAACTTAAAGATTTTTCCTAGTATATATTCCTATGTAAAACTATGATCATCCATTGTAGCCCCACCCTACCATTGGGGTCATGGTTTGAACAAACTCGAATCTACACTACCTGAGGATGATTCCATATAATTATGACCAATCATGGCTTTGCTGTTCTTGAGAAGATTTTTAGGTCACCTGAGTAAACTCAGGTGACCTATTGCTATCTGTTTTCGTCCGTCGTCGTTCGTCGAGCGTCGTTCGTCGTGCGTTGTGCGTTAACATTTGAACATTTTCAGCTTCTTCTCTGCAACCACTGAACCTATTTCAACCAAATTTGGCACAAAGCATCTATGGGTGAAGGGGAACAAAAATTGTGAATTTCATTTTTTATCCCTGCCCCCCTGGGGCCTGAGGGGTGGGGCCAAAACCACTAAAATTAAAGCAATCTTTAAAAATCTCCTTCTTTACTCCTGGACATCAAGCAGTCAAACTGTTTGCATGATTGTAATCAGCAATGAGTCCTCTACCAAAATTGTGAAATTCATGGCCCTGGGGTCAGGGGTTCTAGTGCTAGGGCGGGGCTAAATAAGTAGAGTGAAAATGCATTATTTCTTTGAAAATCTTCTCCTCTGCTCCTGGATATTAAATAAACCAACTAAGTACATAGTTATGATGAGCAAGAGTGCCTCTACCAAAATTGTGAATTTTATGGCCCCAGGGTCAGGGGTTCTGGTGTTAGGGCGGGGCTCTATTGATTATATAGTGAAAATACATGAATTCTTTGAAAATCTTCTTCTCTGCTCCTGGGTATTAAATAAACTAACTAAGTACATAGTTAAGATTAGCAAGAGTGCCTCTACCAAAATTGTGAATTTTATGGCCCCAGGGTCAGGGGTTCTTGTTTTAGGGTGGGGCTCTAATGATTATATAGTGAAATGCATGAATTCTTTGAACATCTTATCCTTTGCTCCTGGTTAATATGCTAATGATCTAATTACATATTTAAGGCCAGGATTTATTTTATTTTCAGTTTTACAAACCCTCCGCTCAAGGTTTTGAATTTTTAGAAAAAAATAAAACAATTTTTTTCTTTCCGATGTCAAATTTGAGTCGGGATCGAGATTTCAAATTTACGAACTCGCACTTCCGGTTTTACGATGAAACGGTGAGTAAATAAAGCTAGATCTGAGAAGATAGCTTGGTTTAGTGTAAAATTCATCGATAAGAGTGCCATTCAAAACGTTTCACCCGTTCAAAGGACAAATAAAATGCTGACGACTTTGTTGCACAATGACATGCTGGTGAGATAATTATGTATTCGATTCAAAAGTAACTGTAAATTATTTTCCTCCCCCAGGTTTTAAACTGCCCGTGGTAGCTATTGCATATTGCCAGGGACATTGTTTAGGTCTCTGTTATAGCTTACAGTCTAAGCATCATTCTTCAGAAAAGGGTTGCTTATGCATCAGATGTAATGAATAAAACTATGGGAGAAGTGAAGTCCATTTGAGGAAGAAATAAACAATAACCTGAAGAAATAAAAAAAAAATTCAACTATTAAAAGGCAAGAATATACAAATATATACAGGCATGTAGTATCATTTGTATCAGCCAGAAAAATCATTTTACACTTAATTGAAAAAATGTTGACCCTACTCCCCAATACTCCCTGTCTGTTTTATGATAGGAATTATAATTTTAGGCATCAAGTAAATTTTAGAACAATGTCTACACATTCACCTAACACATATTTAAAAAATAAAGATATATTGAAAGACTTTTAAAGTATTGATTTTTAAATTTTTAAAAATATATTTTGATCAACATCACAAAATTTATATAACTGGCCCAAACTGGCAGATGATGAAATAAGCAATTAAATGTTCTACTTTCCTATTTGTAAGCATTATGTGTCCAGTGGTAAGGAGCCTATTAGGATAGCATAAAAAAAAGAATGTACAAATGTTAATAATTGATTTATCAAAAAAAAAAATTCATTTCCTTTTCTTTCGGGACTCTTTTATTCTCATGTTCATAACTAAACCTAAACATAAAAAAAAATGCTGGCCTTATAATGAAGAAAGGGGCCTCTTTCAAAATAGATAATTTCAGGGCTGCTGGGTCAGGGGTACCAAGGGGGTACTTTGACTAAAAATGAATTAATGCTTTGAAATCTGCCCTTTGATAAGCAATGGTGCCTTTTTCAAAATTTGTGAATTTCATGGCTTTTGCTTAAAACACGAACCAAATACAATCGCTGGAAAGTTGTTACATGATACTCAGGTGACCTATAAGGCCCGTGGGCCTCTTGTTCCTATATGTTTCTGTGTTAAGCATTGATCTCCCATTATGGCCCCTCCCTACCCCCAGGGGTCATGATTTGAACAAACTTAAATCTACATTACCTGAGGATGATTCCACATGAGCTTTATCTTTCCTGGCCCATTGGTTCTTGAGAAGATTTTTAGAAGATGCCATTAATTTTTCCCTAATTTATTGTTATCTCCCCTTGGAATAGGGCATGGCCCTTCATTTCAACAAACTTGAATCCTTTTTCACCTAAGGATACTTTGTGGCAAGTTTGGTTGAAATTGGCCCGGTGGTTCTTGAGAAGAAGATGAAAATGTTAAAAGTTTACGACGACAACGACGATAACAAAGGCGACGGCGACGGACAACGGACAAATTTCAATCCTTACAAAAAGTAAAGACGTAACGTCAGGAATTGCTACAAATAGGAAAATAATACGCTTAATCCGCTTTCAGCTTACATTTGTAGCACAGTCTTGAAAATAAACATGTAGTGTTTTATATGAAAATAAAGGGTTTTACGTCCAATAATGTTGTAATGAACAGAAGTATTATTACAAGGTATGGACACATTGACAGACTACTATATTCCGAAATAACGTCAATTTCCGTCGTGTCCCGTTGTAACAGAAAAATACCTTCAACACAGTTTATTATTAAAAGTTGAAAAATCTTCTCGGATCTCTCTGATATTTCACAGAGTCATTCTCTTATATCATATTTAGACATAATATGTTTGTTGACAACCTCTGTTAAGAGAAGAGATACCCACATCCTTTGAAATAAAGTCCTTTAAGATGTCCCATTCAATGAAAAATTAGTGTAACGCATTTTCCACGGGGAAAAAAGAAATTTACACATTTGAATTGATATACAATGAGTATTTTTAAACAACAACCTGTTCCAAAAAGATAATGAAAATTTTCCAGGCGCTAAGATATTTAATCAAACACCATCCGTGTCTTGCAAACATGTCCCCCTGCGTAAATGACGGCATGTCAAATATATATTAGTAAATAGCTATAAATTTATTCCGAATTCAAGAGGCAATATTTATGTCAGTGGAAAGTACTGAGAAATTACTTTTGATATATATATATAGGTTTCATCAGATCTTATCGGTTAATAAGAAAACTACTAAGGAATCGAAATATCTTGCGGAAATGTCCCCCAGCTGCTTAAAATGACGTCTGACGTTCTTAGGATGCACGATTTGAGACATACGTCAATGTGCATTTCCTTTTAATTTGTTTACGTATTGTTGTACCCTTCATACTTATCATGTTAATCTTTGATTATCACTTCTCTGTATCCTTAGATTGCCTTTTCTGTTGATGTTTTTAAAATGGTCGCCGTGAAACGAATATCGCATACAAATGTAGTTATAATTTTAAATCCATGCAATTGCAGAATATTCTTTTCAAATGCAAGAGAGAAAACAATGACAGAAAATTTGAAATACAGTGTAATTTGTCTTGATGATCTGCTTTATTGAAAAAAGTACATTTACCCAGGGTTCAATTCCTGATGTTGCATCAAAGCGTCCTCACAAGTAATGTAAATTTTAGTTTATTCAAATCATGAAGTGTGATGCGAAGTTGCTACAATTGGTAAACATGTTTTACATTAGAATATTTAGTATGAAGCAAGAAGTTCCATAATATAGCTCATGTTATCATTGTGGTCAATGTACCTCTTGTTTAATTATACCTTTATTAATATCATGTACAGAAATAGCTTGATGATTTTTGAACAAGCTAATAAAGGATTGCTATTCTTTAAGAATTAAAATATGATTTATGATTTATAATATATGTATAAGAACCCCAATGTGCATTGCCAATGTTAATCCGTTTCAAAAGCAAGGCATTTTCATTCAAATGACGAATGTGTTTGTAAAGGACATCTTTAGGATTTAAAAAGTTAAACTTCAACATACCACTGAAAGTGCTTTTATTAGAATCCCTAATTAAAAGAAGAAATTTCAAAAAATTAATTTTATTTAAAATTTGAACAATGAACTGTAATCGAACTCAAAAGTCCATTAAAACAATTTATGAGTAGAGCCAACACGGACCAAAGAAAAATAAAACAGAGATTGAATCGCGTGCAATTGAGGGGCAAGCATCCCCTGTAAATTGGTTACACCTGCTTTAAGTCATAATTGGGCAAGCGGAGAAATCCGTGGACGATTCAATATAAAGATTGACGTCTGAGCCAATAAATTAAGTAGTGATATTTTTTTCTGTTATATGTCGCAACTTTTAGTCCTGTATCTGCTTTAATGTTTAGCAAACACAAAAAGCATTTTATTGGTAAAATTTTCACCATAACCGATGCACAATATGAAGGATAGAGAAATTAAGAGTTCTCCAAAGGGGTCTTTTAAGAAATATTTAGGTGCACGTTGGAATCCTTTGATTAAGAATTTAAATAAATTAATATATGTATATAATTATATGAATGATTCGCTGGTATATATTGGCAAAAATTCAATCATTGATTAAGCTGGTGTGACTAATGTGGGTCATTTGCCTCTTTTTCAGTGACGATGCGGAGATCCACGTGGTTTCCTCTGGCGAGTCTCCTGATTTTGTTGATTGGAGCCATCATTTGTTTTGTTGGTCAGTGTAAATCTGGAAGAAAGAACTTAACGTTTGTCTGCGGTATTTTATTCGTTCTTGCAGGTAATATTTTAAATTTTTGATCAGCAAATAAAATAAATCTGATACAGATTGTAGAACATTTGTTCCTTTTTTTTTCAAAGTCGAATATTGAACAAAATGTTGTTTTTTTTTATTATGCGTTTCTCTTCAGTGTTTCTCATTGTATCGAAGAATGTTCATTTTGATTTGACCTTATTGTTAATTTTTTTAAAAACTTATTTTCTAGGTTTGTGTACATTAGTTGGCATCATTCTATATATAGGCAGCATTACCGAGGAAGTCGGTAGTAAAGGGAAACCCAGCGGCGACGAAAAAGTCAAATTCAAATATAATTATGGAGCCTCGTTTATCATGACAGTCTGCTCCTTTGTTCTGACTGAGTTATCTGGAGTTTTTTCAGTATATCTGTACATCACTCGTTACAAACAGAAACACAGGAAAAAACTCCAACAAATGTTAAAAGAGGAGCAAAATGATCATAGTAATAGATGGAGATACCGCAAGCCAACAAATCACAGTCGCGAGAGGTCCGTCTCCAGGGAGCGTTGTTCAAGAGACCATTCCATGAGTCGATCTGATAGTTATTATACATATACCCCTATATCTGACAATGCTTCCAATGAACTCTCGAACTATACATTCCCGAGAGAAGTGTCTAGAAATACCATATCAACTACTGTCGATACGCATGCGCCGCGCGAATACCGCGATCACGTGGTCCGAGAAAACAATACTCGAGAACATATGACGGTTCCACTTCCGCCTGAAACAATTATAAGACGAACAACTCCCGTGTGATTTTGTTTAGGTCAGTTAGACGTTATTGTCAACCATTCGGTGCTTTACTGACAATCAAACGGCTGACAGAAGGCACAAAATCCTAGTTCCCCTTGCCATTTTTCACAGGGAGTTCTACATAACACAGATATGATAAAATGGTTAAACTGAAGAAGGCTGTTTTTCATCTGTACGTAGGAAAAAGAATTCCTGAAATTTATTTTATTACCTAAGCTGTCTTGTAGATGAATCATTGGTGTAAATATTTTGATATGAATATTGAACTTAGCAAGGGAGATGTATTGTCCGTGGGTTTGGTTAGGTGTTTTCTACATATTTTTGTATTATTGGTCATGCAGTATTTGAATGTTAATGCAACTGAATGATTATAGCCGATTTTTCCGGTTTGAGTGATTCAAAGTTGTGCATTGAATGGTCTATAGATGTATTTTAATTCATACAAATCTGAATTCATTAATATCACACAAATAGTTCATGTTTTCATCATGTTATGTATCCTCGAGACCATTGATATGTATAATAGGCAACTTTGTGTGAGAAGAAAGATAACTTGTGCATGGCATATAAAGACAAGCGTTTAACGTATGTGTATTTATTGAATAATGTATGTTGTGACATGTATTATCATTCTCACTGTGTGTTTACATAAGATGCCTCGCTGAATATTATACATTTTTAAGTATCATAGGAGTTAAAGAGAACGCACAGTTAAGCCACAAAGAAGTAAGGCGAGGTTAACACTTACTTGTACAATATTGCAGGACTTCGGTTTAAAGACGGTCCTTGCTCATCTTATACCATCTTGACTTGTACATGTGTATACTGTCTATTTATTATTTAAAAAACCCCGCGCATTCTTTTAACTTGTTTGAAACAATATTACGAAGGGCAATACAAAGAAAAAACGAAGATCACTCTGTTGTTTCCAAACATTTCTATGGCTGTTGTGAAGGACGCATTCAGTTTGAGTTTTATTTTTGAAACATTATGCATACGTTAAATGTTATTAGTTAAATATATGTAATTTTTGTAAAAATTTCTACACTTTGTAATTATATGTTGATATCATGTGTCATTGCATATTTCTCCATTATATGGGCTTTTTTGTTTAATTTGTTATATAATTATGGTCTCATTTGAATTGAAGATATTTATCAACAACCACAGTTTTCTTTTCTCTTTTTAGCTCACCTGAGCCGAAGGCTCAAGTGAGCTTTTCTGATCAAAATTTGTCCGTCGTCTGTCGTCGTCGTCGTTGTCGTCGGCGTAAACTTTTCACATTTTCATCTTCTTCTCAAGAACCACTGGACCAATTTCAACCAAACTTGCCACAAAGTATCCTTAGGTGAAGGGGATTCAAGTTTGTTCAAATGAAGGGCCACGCCCTTTTCCAAGGGGAGATAATTATGAATTAGTGAAAAATTAATGGCATTTTTCAAAAATCTTCTTCTCAGGAACCAATGGGCCAGGAAAGATGAAACTCATGTGGAATCATCCTAAGGTAGTGTAGAATCAAGTTTGTTCAAATCATGACCCCTGGGGCTAGGGTGGGGCTAAAATGGCCGACCAAAGTTTTACATAGGAATATCTAGGAAAACTCTTTAAAAATCTTCTCAAGAACCACTGTGCCAGGAAAGATGAAACTCATGTGGAGTCATCCTCAGGTAGTGTAGATTCAAGTTTGTTCAAATCATGACCCCCGGGGCAAGGGTGGGGCCAAAATGGCCGATCAAAGTTTTACATAGGAATATATAGGAAAAATCTTTAAAAATCTTCTTCTCAAGAACAATTGAGACAGGAAAGATGAAACTTGTGTAAAATTATCCTCAGGTAGTGTAGATTCAAGTTTGTTCAAATCATGACCCCTAGGGCTAGGGTGGGGCCAAAATGGCCGACCCAAGTTTTACATAGGAATATACAGGAAAACTCTTTAAAAATCTTCTTCTCAAGAACCACTGGGCCAGGAAAGATGAAACTCATGTGGAATCATCCTCAGGTAATGTAGATTCAAATTTGTTCAAATCATGACCCCCAGGGCTAGGGTGGGGCCAAAATGGCCGATCAAAGTTTTACATAGGAATATATAGGAAAACTCTTTAAAAATCTTCTCAAGAACCATTGAGACAGGAAAGATGAAACTCATGTAAAATTATCCTCAGGTAGTGAAGATTCAAGTTTGTTCAAATTATGACCCCTGGGACCAGGGTGGGGCCAAAATGGCCGACCCAAGTTTTACATATATATAGGGAAACCTTTTTAAATCTTCTTTTCAAGTATTCAAAGCCATGATTAGTGATATTTATATGGAATCAACCTCAGGTAGTGTAGATTCTAGTTTGTTCAAATCATGAACCCCCGGGGGTTAAAATTCAAGCCCCCCCCCCAGTAAACTTTTAGTTCTGATCTGATATGTGCTTTTTCCTAGCCGATGTGCTCAGGTGAGCGCTGTGGCCCCTGGGCCTCTTGTTTGGGTATATATTTAATTTTATATAATTATTGGCATACAGATTTAAAACAACTATGGGAAGATGATAATAACTTTTTAAAAAAGTTTTTTTTTAATTTTCGAAGAAACGAAGGTAACCGAGCGACAGCCTTTTAGGGTACTAGATGTGACATTTTGCTGTACATGACTTTCAATTCGACAATAAGATAAATCGATGACGTTATTTTTAATTAATCCAAAATAATCATTTTCATTCAGACATTTGTTTGATATATCCCACTTAAGCCACATTGTCTGAAACATCTGTTTCTTATTTGGATCTTTACCTAGAGAAAGACACTGATGCTATTCTAACAACTAGCCTAAACTTAATGATACACGTGATGAGTTCGACAATTTATGGAGCAAATGGCAGGTGTGACCGGTTGGCAGATGCTCACTCCTTCATGGCACCTGATCCCTCCTCGATCTGATGTTTTAGAGGCGCCTGTGTTTGCTCTGCTCATTTGTATTGTATAAATGGACTTATGAGCTGAATATACTGTTCGTTTTCTTCAATCTGTACGTATCACTATAGTACGTTTTCCATCGTCAGCTTCCATTATTTTCGAAGCTACATGTATATATGGCATTTTTCCATTCGTAAAGTCATTGGTTCCACGTCAGAATGACGTTTCACTACCCATACCGACGACCTGGCCGAATCCATAATTATCTTGACTGGTATTCTAAAGCCAAGATCATCCCTTGCACAAATTACCTGGAGAAAATTTACCATTCTCGGGTTTTTCAGATAAGCAAATCTTCCCCTTCGGAAGAAATGTTTTAAAAAACAAATTGTTACCAGAAATTATTTCTTTTTAGCAAATTTCACACTCTTTACCAGTACTCATTTCTTCCAGAGCAATGTTTGCTATATAGGACACCACTGCCTAATTATCAGTATATATCCAGATTTTATTTTCTTTTTCAAATTCTTTTCTTCGTGCACTTGTACTCATATATAACAAAGTACCCTTTTCACTTAACAGAAATCAGTGATTGTTGAAATAACATAAAATGTTACAACCGAAAACGTAAAAGTTGTAAGGTCTCCAGAATCTTTGTTTTCTAGCAGAACTCTCGTTTGAGTCAGAGAGGTACTTTTTGCTGTATAGCAATTCATAAGAAGGGGTCTTCAATAAGGGGAAAGTTTTGCTCGACTATGTAACAGGGGATGTAATCCCATTTTTGTGTTTTCAAAAGGCCTCGTTTGCTTTTTCTTAAATTATGTAATTTTTGTTTGGAATTTTGCTGATGAAAAAATCTTTTATTTGAAAAAAAAAGCCCTAAAATTTGAAGAAAATAAAAGTTTGCATCTTCCAAGACACAAGACCAACAGATGTTGGAAACGAGAGTCAAAACAAGAATAAAAAGTTTGGACTTTTAAAAATTGCATTTACTAAATTTACACATAATGAACAAAAATACAATATATAAAAAAATTATTTCCTTTCAAACAATTATCCATCAAAATACAAATTGGAGCCCATTGGGGCGGAGATCAGTCTTTGGGTTTTGGGCGGAACAGAAGCCGAATGGTGTCTTATATTAAAAAGGGATGGCCCACTCTGTATCTTAATCAGACGGATGTTGTGTGAAAATGTTAAAAGAAAAACTTAAATATTAAAAAAACAAAAAAAAAAAAAAGGAAACTTTACCACGAACACCTGGCACATGGATGGGATACCCTTCCCCCGGCCCCTTTTTCTGATAATTGAATTTAGATCTGGCAATTTATCAATGGATTGCCATAAAAGCAGTTGATGTTATTTCTAAATTTCCCGGTTTTTATTTCATAGATGGTGCCTCTACTAGTATTTTTATGTACCGGTAGAGGGCGGGTCAACTCTGAAACTTTACGAAAATTGAAAGTTGGATATCCCAATATTTGGGTTTAACCATCCATGTACCAGGTGCCTGTGATATTACAATTAACAAAAGATGAAAAACAAAAGATCTGATGTAAAAATAAAATTAATGTAAAATCACCCATATCAATTAAAAAGTTAAGAGTCTTGAAAAAATGGCATTAATCAGCTTGTGGAGCAAGGCAACAACAAAGACATTGCCCAAAGCATCGTAGGACACGACGGATGAGGTTTGGCTGAAAATTTCATATTTAGTTTTAATATTTAATGTTATACAGAAGGAATGCTGGGGTTATAGCTATAATTCCAATGTCATAAAGTCTAAAAGCTGTGTTACCTTTTTGGGCTTTTTAGGCACATTGGTGGCATCATAAAAAGCTTTAATGAGGTCTCTACTCAACATATCTGTTGCCTATAAATGATACAAAGATACCAAATAAGTCAAACGTTTCCTTAGCTGCAGAACTGTAACTCTCTAAGGTCAGATGGGAGAGCTGCAGTGCCACCCATTGAAAAAGTGAATTTATGTTCCTTAGTTCACCTGCCAAACGACTGAGCTTGCTTGTTTTAAGCAAGCGAAAACAAAAGAAACATCATAAGATAAAAAAAAAAAACATATACAAAATGCTCTAAACTGTTGTGTCATCAAAAAAGGGGGTAAAACAAAATAACAAACAGCCAAAAAATGAACACAACTATGTTTCCCTCGCCGCCCAGGAAAAACCATATGTAAAACTACACTTTGTGTAGATAAAAAAAACAATGGAAATGGAAGTGCGCTGTTTCTCGATTTATCTTCCCATGTTTTTCAAATCTCAAAATATTACTAGCAGAGTGTTCCTAGCAAATTCGTGTACTACAAATTTCTTGATAGATAAACTTAGAAAACTTTTCTGTGTTAAATTCCATGTAGCATATTTTCATGAAGTTAAAGTTTGTTTGTATGTGTGTGTGTTGGGGGGTTGTATGAATGACCCCGTAAACATTCGAGTTTTTTTCCGCTCATCGGAGAGGACTGTTGCAAAAGGTCCACCCCTTCCCTTTTGTGTCCAAAATATACATCAGATATAATAAATCAAATTTTGGTGTAGCAGTGGGTCACTCCCCCGACCTTAATCAAACTGCCCCTGTCAGTATTCCTGGATTCGCCACCACTTGCGTAATCTGAATGTAAAAACTATTTATTTTTTTTAACAGATAAATGAATTTACATACCAGTAGATTTTTTGTGTGTGCATATTTCAAGACATTATCCTTTTTTAAAAAACGAGCTTTCTTTAGAGACCATATAAACCGAGATCCCGTGTCGCAGTAGGTGCTGGCACGAAAAAGATCCCTCCCTGCTTAATGGCCCTAAGTAGCGAGTATAGGATGAAAATTTGCAGCTCTCCACCGACAAGTGATGGCGTCTCCAAATGAGTGAAAAATTCTCGAGAGGGACGTTAAACAATATACATTCAATTAATCAATCTTAAAAAAATAATTTGTACGAAACGTTCAGATGTATACTCAGGTTTTGAGTCTAGTAAGTATGTATTTTATAGACCATCGCATACAGTGATTCGGATTGAACAACATCACAGTTGTAAAACTTTACATTATTTACTAAATGATAGTATTCAGCAAGTGAAATGAAAAATTTATGAGGTCTAGCTTGTACAAACTCATAAAATCATCATTACAGTGTGATAAATATACAAAAAGAATCTTCTATACACATAATTAAGAATAAGCAATCAAATCTTTATATCCATACTGACATATTTTATTTACTTCAGTATACATGTATACATTTAATAATTCTA